AGTTTCATTAAAATATTTTCAGTACTTTTTGAGTTATCGCGGGATCCAGTTTTGTGGACGGACGGACTGACGGACGGACAGACAGACAGACAGACGGACGGAGGGTAAACCTAAAGTCCCCTCCAGTAAACCGGTAGGGGACTAATAAAGAGGTAACAGTAAAAAATAGTATTTTTTAAGGAAAATTCTAAGTTCAAGGGGAGATAAATCTGAAAATATTGGTGCTAGAGTTATGAACCTTGTCACATAAGATGTGGTTGATGATAAGGAACATATATTTGAAGTTTGAAGTTGATACCTTAAGAAATGACAAAGTTATAGTGAAAAATATTTTACTGCACCAAAACTTTAATCTGAAACCTGGACGCGGACGCCGACGCCGGGGCGAGTAGGACAGCTCTCCATATACTTCGTATAGTCGAGCTAAAAAATGCTACAGACAAAGTTTGATGATCATCCATTAATTTGTTCTGTAGAAGAAGATGTTTAAAGGTTTTTCTATTTTTAGCTTAAGCGGTCCCTAAAAGGGGCTAATCAAATGAATATGAGCAAACTTAATAAAAGACTACCCAAGAATGCTACAGACAAAGTTTGGTGATCATCCATCAATTAGTTCTATAGCAATAGACGTTTAAACGTTTATCTATTTTTAATTTAAGCAGCCCCTAAAAGGGGCCAATCAAAATAATATGAGCAACCTTGATTAAAGACTACCCAACAATGCTACAGACAAAGTTTGGTGATCTGATCCATCCATTAGTTCTGTAGAAATAGACATTAAAAGGTATTTCTATTTTTTAGCTTAAGCGGCCCCTAAAAGGGGCCAATCAAATTCATATGAGCAAACTTGATAAAAGACTACCCAAGAATGCTACAGACAAAGTTTGGTGATCATCCATCAATTAGTTCTGTAGAAGAAGATATCTAAAGGTTTTTCTATTTTTAGCTATAGAGACCCCTAAAAGGGGCCAATCAAATTAATATGAGCAAACTTGATAAAAGACTACCCAAGAATGCTACAGACAAAGTTTGGTGATCATCCATCCATTAGTTCTCTAGAAATAGACATTAAACGGTATTTCTATTTTTAGCTTTAGTGGCCCCTAAAAGGGGCCAATCAAATTAATATCAGCAAACTTGATAAAACACTACCCGAGAATGCTACCAACAAAGTTTGGTGATCATCCATCCATTAGTTCTGTAGTAGAAGATGTTTCAAGATTTTGCTATTTTTAGCCCTAGAGACCCCTAAAAGGGGCCAATCAAAACAAGAATGTCAAACGACACATATACCCCCCTTTCTAGCCATTGACTCACATAATTGGTAATTTTTTTTACAGAAACTTGCCAAAAATGGGTACATGGAAGTGTTCAATTATGGAAAAATCAACGGAAACCATTTTGACATTTAAGGCCCATGTGACATTGACCTTTGACCTAATGACCCCTAAATCAATAGAGGTCATCTACTACTTATGACCAATAACTAGGTGAAATATACAGACTTTGTGATGAATACTTTTCAAGATAATCAGCGGAAACCATTTTGATATTTCAGGTCCCTGTGACCTTGACCTTTGACCTAGTGACCCCAAAATCAATAGGGGTCATCTACTAGTGATGACCAATCACTATGTGAAATATGCAGACTTTGTGATAAAAATTTTTCAAGATAATCAGCGGAAACCATGTGGTCTACCGACGGACAGACCGACAGACAGATTGACATTAGCAAAACAATATACCCCCTCTTCTTCGAAGGGGGGCATAATAATATTAGCAAAATTCTGAACCCCAAGGCTTTAATTTATACAATCTTGATACAGGTCCACCAGACAATGTTTCTTGCTGAATATCTAAGCTCTAGCTTTCTCCTTTTCAGAAAACATTTTTTAGTTTCTTTTTAATGTATATAAAGAATACTCATGACCCCATGGGTGGAGCTTATATTGTTCCTAAAGCCATAAATTGAACAATCTTTGTAGAGGTTCACAAATATCCAAGTTCTAACCTTTGAAACTTCAGAGGATAATTTTCCCATAAGATTTTACTACAATTTGTAATGAAAATATATGTCCCCAGCAGGGCCAGTTTTGACCCCTGGGCAATAATTTTAACAAAGTTGGTAGAGGTCAATTCACAATGTTTCATGCCAAATATCTAACCTATGACCTTTGTCATTTCAGAGAGGAAGATTTTAAAAGTTTTTATCATATACATATATGGAAAACCTATGACCCCCCAGGGTTGGGCCAATTTTGACAGGAGAGGCAAAATTTGAACAAAAATTGATAACGGTCCACTAGACAATGTTTCTTGCCAAATATCTAAGCTCTAGCCTTTGTCATTTCAGAGAAAGGGATTTTCTAAGCTTTTACTTTATACATATAAGGAAAATCTATGACCTCCAGGGTGGGGCCAATTTTGACACAAGAGGCAAAATTTCAACAATTTTGCTCATAGTGAGCTAACAAAACAATCTACCAATTTGATTTCTAACAAAACAATCTACCAATTTGATTTAAGGTTTTTCAATATGTTTTTTCTAAATACACCTTTAACCATCTTGACTGTTGCAATTCAATTTTATCAATATAATGGTGGAACAAAGAGAATAACAAGTGGAGTTTGTTTACAATGAGTAAACAAAATTCCTTATTCAATGCTTAGTGTTATTTTATTTCACAAATATGCCAATTTTCATCTCCCCAGAGTTTACCTTATGATTCCACACAAACTTTCCAGCAAAGAAATGAAAGGAAAAATTTTAAATGAAAACAACACTATTTTCAAGGGTATAATTCTATATCTAATTAAATATTTCCATGAAATTTATAAATGGCAAAATAATGTTGTTTCCATGATAATTCAATTTTTTTAAGAGTTGTAACATAGAATACTCTCTATTATTGAACACATATGATAAAGGTATATATATATTTACATGTATACATCTTCAAACTATCATTTTTATTAACTACAGAAGGCAGATATTACACACTTTAAGGTTCAGGCTTATCAATATGAAATAATTGTTACAACTAGAACTATCGCTGAATGCGAGTCATACCCCCATCAATGTCCTTGACAGAAGATGACTTGGAAAGGTGGTTAAGGGAATAACTTTAGTGGCACAAATACATATACATAAAAAGAAATTATCTCTGGTGAAAAAAAGAAAAATTGTACAGGTAATAGTATAAATATATATTGTCAAATCATGTTCGAAACAGTTACAAATAACCTTTCATTTTCCCAATGTACTAAAACAAACAAAAGCAGTGAAGTTAAGAAAATAGCACAATTATGTCAAAATGTAATTAAGAGTGGAAAAACTTTGCATACTGAGCTTACTTGTGACCCTTCATATATTATATAGTTTAAAGTGAATATTTGATCTGGTTTAAGAAATATTACAGTAAATAAATTTAAAGACATAAAAATGGACTTAACTTTGTCAAAATACAAACACTTTTTTAGTTATGAAACTTGACCTGCATATCTTACTTGTGACACTTCATATATATTTGAAGTTTCAAATGATTATCTGTTCTAGTTTTAGAAATATTCAAGTACATGTTAAAATTTCAGAACATTTTCTGAGTCAATTTTTGACCTTCAAGTGTGGCCTTGACCTTAAGCTGGCACAAGGGTAAGATGGGTTCTGCACATTACCCAGTTGGGGTGAACATTTGGGTCAAGTTTGAAGAAAATACTTCCATTAGTATAGAATTTATAGAGCGGACACAACATATTGTCTAGTATTGATTGTATGTAAATTTAAAGACTTAAATGGGTATAACTTTGTCAAAACGCAAAACAGAGTTATGAAACTTGACCTGCATATCTTACTTGTGACACCTCATATATCTTTTAAGTTTCAAACAAATACCTGTCCTAGTTTCAGAAACATTCAGGTACATGTTAAAATGTAAGAATATTTTCTCTAAGTCATTGTTTGACCTTCAAGTGTAACCTTAACCTTAAGCCGACACAAAGGTAACATAAGTTCTGCACATAACCTTGTAGAGGTGAACATTCGAGTAAAGTTTTAAGAAAATTCTTCCATTAGTATAGGATTTATAGAGCGGACACGACATATTGTCTAATATTTGATTGTATGTAAATTTGAAGCCTTAAAAAGGGGCATAACTTTGTCAAAATGCAATACAGAGTTATGAAACGTGACCTGCATATCTCAATTGTGACACTTCATATACATTTTCAGTTTCAAGCAAATACCTTTTCTAGTTTCAGAAATATTCAAATACATGTTAAAATTTAAGAATATTTTTTACCTTCAAGTGTGACCTTGACCTTAAGCCAGCAAAAGGGTAACATGGGGTCTGCACATTACCTTGTTAAGGTGAACATTTGAGCCAAGATTGAAGAAAATCTTTCAATTAGTGTAGGACTTACAGAGCGGACACGACATACTATCTCATATTTCATTGTTTGATATTTGACCTTCAATTGTGACCTTGACCTTGAGCTGACACATGGGCAACATGGGTTCTGCACATCCTCTTGTGGAGGTGAAAATTTGAGCCAAGTTTGAAGAAAATCCTTCAATTGGTATAGGATTTATAGAGCGGACACGATAATGGAGACGGACCGACGGACAAGACAAAGTGAATCCATTATAGCCCCCCCCCACACACATTTTGTGGTGGGGGTATAATTACTTTAATAAATAAAAACACAAATTGTAACAGAAACAAAAGTAGCTGTTACATTGTTTTTAAAATGCAGATTTCTATAATTTCTTCTTTGGAAAAAACATAAGACATATTGCTAAAGCCAATGGCTGCTCCCGGAAACTGCTCTTTAGTCAAAATATGTTAGAAAATGTAAAATAAAATAAAATAAATTTCAGCATAATTTTGGAATTGACAGAAGTTAATAATTTCTTAATGTTCTTTTTAACAATATGTTTTATTCTTTTTAAAAATTGTAATCAAAGTATTACAAAATTACAATAGGATGAAAATATTTCTGACCTGTAGTGCTCTGAAACACAGTGGTAGGCTTTGTTGTGAGGTATTTTACATCCACACTCACTGGGTTAATTGATCTATAGATAAAAAAATGATACATAAGTCCTTATGATATTGCATGTTAACATACCCTTAATCTTTATTGGTTTATACTTGTGAAGTTAATAACATCAATGTAAATAAAACTAGAAATTGTCACTACTGCTTGTCAGAAAACATGTTTTTAAGCAAATAATTTTGCACCAAGGGTGATTGCAGTAGATAATAGATTTTTTTCAAATGCTTTTGAATTATGTGTCCTACATCAATAAGATAAATTAAAGTTTTCATTTGAAGGTTTGACGTATTGCCTTCTTTTGAGAGCAATACGTCCTTTCTCCCTGAGATTTCTGCACTTCTTCTCAGTGAAATCTATCTACAAAGTGTCCAGTTGGTACCTTTTATAGTTCTCAAGTTATGTCCCGGACAAAGTTCAAAGTGTAAAAATAAACAAAGGGCAGTAACTCTAAAATTGGCAGAATTATGGTTCTTTTGCACTGCACTTCTACTTAATGAGATCTATCTACCTACAAAGTTTCTTGTTAATACCCCTGTTTCATGTTGATACCCCTTTCCTTTTAGAGTTATGTCCTGGACAAAGTTCAAAGTGTAAAAATAAACAAAGGGCAATCATCTCCAAAATTAGGCAGGCATAGTAAGGGTTATTTTGCACTGCACTTCTACTCAATGAGATCTGTATATCTGTAAAGTTTTAAGTTGATACCTTTTATAAGTTTTCAAGTTATGTTCTGGACAAAGTTCAAAGTGTAATTATGAACAAAAGGCAATAACTCCAAAATTTGGCAAGGCAGAGTTACGGTTCTTTTGCAATGCACTTCAATTCAATGAGATATATCTACCTACAAAGTTTCTTGTTAATACCCATTGTGCTTTTAGAGTTATGTCCAGGACAAAGTTCAAAGTGTAAAAATAAACTAAGGGCAAAAACACCAAAATTTAGATAAGGCAGAGTTACATTTCTTTAGAACTGCACTTCTACTCAATGAGATCTATCCAGCTACAAAATTTGAAGTTGATATCTCTTGTACATTCTTTTGTCCCAGACAAGAAATCTGCAACGGATTGACCAACCACCAGCTGATTCCAGTATACCCCCTAAAACTTTGTTTGTTGGGGTATAAATATACGAAAAGTCCAACAAAACATCATTTATTCAAGAGTAAATGTAACAAAATATTTTGATATTAACAGTTGAGCAATAAATTATCAGTGTTTTTTTCTTTCTCTGCTTAGGGAATGGTTCCGGTACTGGACAGATTGGGAAAAAAATCCATTGATTTGTCTCAATTTGGGAATTTTACATAAGATGCAAAATATTCATTTGGAATTTCTTTTATCCAGGGAGACATGAAAATTATGCATAATATACACTTTAAAAACATGTACATGTATTATTAACTTTAATGATTATTTTTACTACTTGAGGTTGAAAAAAAAAGATAATCATTACAATTGTGCATAAATAATGTTTAGGTGTGAAACACTTAAGTACGAAATGAACTGGGTACGAATATCACTCATGTGGTTATACTTGGTTTTTATCATATATCACTTATCAATGGCATTACTGTTTTTGTTACCTTTAAAGTAGATTTTTGAGGAAATTTTCAGTGTTATTTTGGGAATTTATATGTCATGAATTGGGAAATTTGCTGTCTATTTTCTATTGGGAATGGTGCCGTTTTTCGGTATCAGTTATATAAGGAAAAAAACCACTAATATACATGTATACTGGAAAGGAATCTATTGAATTTTTTTTTAATTTTCAAAACAACCTGAGGCTGTTATGATAAGTTATGGTTCTAATGATAAATTGTGCTCAAGGCATTTTATGGGAAAATATAGTTTTTCTTGACTGGGGGAAACAACCTTTATTCAGCTGTTATATATAGAAACAAATCCCTGGAATCAAATGACAATGAATTTCCCTTGACAAAATCGCCATACACGCCAAAGAACAAATTTTATAAAATTCATCTTAAAACTTATTTAACAATGAAATCTTGAAATTAACTTACTGTGGTTTACAAATAAAACTATCATGGTCATCCCTTACATGTCCAACAATACAGGGCTCAACGCAGGTGCCATCTGTAACCAAATTTAAACCTTGTCAGTCATACAAAACATATTGTAAACAAAAACAAAACTCCTGAAAGAGACTAATATAAATAAATTCAAGACAGTACCAACGAACTTGTTTTGATGACCCAGCAGTTTATTTATAGAAATTATTTAAAAGTGGCTCGAGTGGTTAAGTTAAAGTCACTCACTTCTAATCACTTGCTCCTCCAAATCCTGATTGGGACTTTGGATTCTTTCATTATTGAAAGTAATTGAAGTATGTCGGTGTAATATAGAACCCTGCTGTTTTTAAGGATCATGTATAGTTGTAAATGTACTTAAAATACCAAGTGTATCATAAGTTTTGTTTTATTGGTAACAATTATGTTTTTATCTTTTTTGCTAGTTGGTTTTTTGAAAATCTGGGGAATTTGATCCCACAGGGGGAGATCAACAGACTAGCCAAAAAGAGCTGTCACAGGAGACAGCGAAGCTCGACTTATTAAATACTTGACGCAGTCAAGAAGACAAAACTATGAAAGAAAAATCAGTTATGATATAAATATTTATTTTCTTATGACTAGAAGTTATAGTTGTTAACATAAATTTTAAGTTCAAGGGGAATAATTCTGAAAATAGTCTCACTTGAGTTATGAACCTTGTCACACAACATGTGTGTAATGATAAGAAATATATATTTGAAGTTTGAAGTAGATACCTTAAAAAGTAAAGAAGTTAAATTATTTCTTAAAGAAAATTCTCAGTTCAAAGGGAGATAAATCTGAAAATATTGCTTCAAGAGTTAGAACCTTGACACATAACATGAAGTTGAATATAAGGAATATGTATTTGAAGTTTGTTATTTATTTCAAGGGACTTCTTTCGCCATTTAATGTTTGAAAAAAAAAGATAAATAAAAACAATTTTTTGTTGAATTTCGTTTTGAAAATTGTCTAGAATGATAGAAAATGGTCTAACTAAGAAAATAAATCTTTAATTCAGTCATTATCGCTGTACAGACGTTTAAAAAGTTGTTTACCTGACGTCACAATGTAGCGCGAAACAGCACTTGCAAAAACAGTCAAAACAAATATATGTACAATTGTAGTAGCGTAGCAAGCAAGGAGATTCGTCAACATTTTCTTTAATAATGAAATTAAATAAAAATGTTTTTTTTTTGTTTTTTTGCGAAATATGGTTATATTTTCACTCAACATAATAAAATCTTTATGTCTATTACGTCAAGAGGGCAAAACATAACTAACTTGCTATAATTAATCGCATAGTAAATCCAATCCGGGATAATGCGCGTGCCTTTGTATTTTGTAACTTTTTTCAGGAGAGCAAATTGGTCATAAGTCTTAAGATTATTACAAGATAAGATAAGATAAGACAGTTACTTGAAACCGTCTTAAGTACAAAAACTTTTCCCCCTAAAGTTGATCATAAGTCCTAGGATTTAGGATTAACTTAGGACTCTCCATGAAACGAGCCCAGGTCACATAAGATGTGGTTGATTATAAGGAACATATATTTGATACCTTAAGAAATAAAGAAGTAACAGTAAAAAATAATATTTTGAAAGAAAAAAATCTAATTCAAGGGGAGATAAATCTGGAAATATTGGTGCTAGAGTTATGAACCTTGGCTGCCTTTCATGGAGAGTCCTAAGTCATAAGTCGGATCTAAGATAAAAATTGAGAAAATTTTGCGTTTCAAAGAAAGTCTTAAAAAAGGTCCTAACTTATGACTCCTATATTTATGACCAAAAACAGTCCTAAGTCTAGGAGTGTTTTAAACATAAGATTGTCCTAAATCAAAACCACTCCAAAATCAAACATGGCAGCGTATATGGTAGTGTTTCAAAGACAGAGGGCCCTGTGCTGGGGGACAGGTCACAGGCGCTGGACATTTATAAATACTGACGAGGAGTTGATTAATGATATTGTACAAATTTCCAAGGGAATTGATCATGCAAATCACAGATTTAGTGAAAGGGGATATTGAGAATTATATAATTTTACCCAATGAATATGGTGCTATGTCAGTCAAATATATTTCGTATTTGTTAAAAATAAATATGAAATATAAATATGAAAGTGGGTGGAGTCAAAACTTATAATTATTTCAAGGGACTAGAATCTAACGCCGTTTTGTTTGGGAAAAAAAAAGATAAATAAAAAAAAACATATTGTTGAATTTCATTTTGAAAACTGTCTAGAATGATAGAAAATAGAAGATAAGAAAATAAATCCAAACATCAATACCTTTAATTCAGTCATTACCACTGTACAGACGTTTAAAAAGTTGTTTACGTAACGTCACAATGTAACGCGAAATAGCACTTGCGAAAACAGTCTAAACAAATATATGTACAATTGTAGTTGCGTAGCAAGCAAGGAGATTCGTCAACATTTTTCTTTGATAATGAAATTAAATAAAAAGGTTATTGTTTTGTTTTTCTTGAAATATGGTATATATTTTCACTCAACATGATAAAATCTTTATGTCTGTTACGTCAAGAGGGCAATACATTACTAACTTGCTATAATCAATTGCATAGTAATTCCAATCCTGGATTATACACGTGTCATTGTATTTTGTAACTTTTTTCAGGGGAGCGAATTGGTCATAAGTTTTAAGTTTACGACAAAAGATAGGACAGTTACTTGAAACAGTCTTAAGTGCAAAAACTTTTTCTCCTAAAGTTGGTCATAAGTCCTAGGATTTAGGATTAACTTAGGACTCTCCATGATACGCAGCCCTTGTCACATAAGATGTGGTGGATGATAAGGAACATACATTTGAAGCTGATACGTTAAGAAATGAAAAAGTTAAAGTGAAAAATATTTTACTGCACCAAAACTTTTATTTGAAATCTGGATGCAGACGCCGGGGTGAGTAGAACAGCTCCCCATATACTTTGTATAGTCAAGCTAAATCTCGGGGGACTTTGCCTCCCGGCAGGGCATATAACATGTTTGTCTATACCAGCAATAAACCAATAAAATACAGTAAAACTGTCTTTAATGATATACAATCCAATTAATATTATAATTATACAGTTAAACTTCATTCGCTTGAACTCAGATCGCTTGAATACCTCCCTTCGCTCAGACTCATCATTCTAAAACAAAATTGAATCTTACTTGGCAGAGGCATCCTTCCCTTACTGCAAGGATCACTATCATTGACATGTCTACAATATTGTCCATAATCATACATGAAAGTATCATTGTAAGAAAACAAGAATTTGTCATCTCGACTGTAGTAGCCTGCTGTATAGTTGCAATAAACTTCAGGGGGTTCAACCGAACTTCCGTAAGAGTATATGACAAATCTATCTGGCAGGCCCGTGAAGTCACCCCGATTACCTTTACACGCATTTATACAGTTTGAGGAATGTTGCTGGTATCTATCTTGTGGACATGGTGTCACTGTCATCACTACCTTTGTATGATCATTATTGTCAATTGTAAACACCCCTTTCGTGCCTGTAAAGTATAAAGTATTAGTGGCTAAATGCATTTATTTTAGGTTGCAGGAAAATCAAACTTGATCACCTTTAATAACAAAAGAAAAACATTAATTTATTTTTTGAATTTTATGAATTAAACACAAGTTATAACATTAAGTATGGCACATAAGTGTAATAAAGCCATTTTAAGAACAAGTGCCATATATACATATATATTGGTGGATATTTATACACACACACACTAGAATACATACATATGTGTGTGTATATGTGTATATATATATATTAAAATGTGATAAATGTTCCTTGTGCAGTGTTGAAATAGCTAAAATAAAATGTTTAAGAAATAACAAACTCCATGTATATTCGGTAGCTCTTAATCAATGCTTTCTTCGCGAAACTTTAATTAACAATAAATGCATAAACAAATGACGTAACGTCATGAAAAAAAGCGGGAATGTTTAAGAAATAATATATCCCAAACTGTGATTTTATTGCTCAATAACATCACTGTTTGAAGTTCGGATGCGGGGAATTATATCACGAGGGCGCAGCCCGAGTGATATAATGATGCGAATCCTAACGACAAACAGTGATGTTATCAAGCAATAAAATCACCGATTTGGATATATTATTTCGATTCTAACACGACATCAACAAATAAATGCTGCCGTACATTATAATTAGCTTAATTGCGCCTGATTTGTTTCCGTACTTATTGTCAGCTCGTCACATTTTTAGTGGTTACGTCACGTGTATAATGATTACGTCACATGTCTAAATATAGAACGTCAAACAGTGATTTTATAGCATAATAACACACACTTTCGGTTCTTCTATGTTCAATAGGGAAAAATGCGGGTCGTGTTAGAATAAATGATAACGTATTTCCCGGCAAACACAATATGGTAATTTATACCGTAAAATTACACCAGCTTGCATGCAAAAACTTAACCAAGTCGAAAAAGGGGCATAATTTTGCAAAAAAGCAATCAGAGTTATGCCAATCATCTTAGATAATCACAGAGAACAAGTGTGTGAAGTTTCAATCCATTCCCTTCAGTTGTTATGGAGATACCAGCCTACACGCAAACACTTAACTACAGGGACACCGACACCGACAAATGGGTGACTACAGTAGCTTGATTATTCTGCGAATAGTCGAGCTAAAAAGAAATCATAGTTATGGGACTTGTGCCAATCATGTTAGATAATCACAGAGAACAAGTGTGTGAAGTTTCAATCCATTCCCTTCAATAGTTATGGAGATACCAGCTTAATCAGAGTTATGGGACTTGTGTATGGGGTGTAATAGTTTCAATCGATATCAGTGTATCAACGATCTTTGTTATCCGATTCGATATTGATTCCAGTTTTAATATCGGATATCGAATGCACACATATTTCTAGCTAAAGAGACTTCAGCAAACAGGTTTTATAGTACTGATAGACCAAACATCAAAATAAAACAGACATATAAAGTTATGGAAGCCACTAGAACTAACATATTTCAAACATTTTTTTTTCTAAAACAAAAATGGAAATCAACCCCAGAGTTACCTCCCAGTGTCTCTAACAAATGCTGACGAATTTCGTTGTAATCTCGTAATTGTCTGCTAAGTGGGGGTCAAAACCCCAAATTCAGATTTTTAAAAGGGAAAATGCCAAGAACATTTTTGTAAGTGTTTCTTTGTAAAAATTATGATTACATATGTTAAACTTAAATAATTATTCTGGTTCTAAACACAATAATTTGCCAATTAAACCCCGCCTTACTAATGGAACAGCAAGGATGGGATTTAGCTGAGCATAATCCTAACTATGTAATAGCAACAACAACAAAAGTACAAGAACCGGTTGAACCGGGTGATGCTCCCCGAGAGGGTTTTGGACACAGGAAAGTATAAAAAAACTAGAACTATCACTAAATGTGATTAATACCCCCACAAGACTGCTTCGGAAATGAGGATGTTACTAGTTACAGAATACCTTGGAAAATAATTGAAATATAGAATTATGGTTGTGGGCAATTAAAGATAGTTGTAGTTCTTGTATGTTGCATTTCCTTTCAATGTGGTTGGCCATTGATGAAGTTTTATTGAATGACTCTGTAATAAGTCCAGAAAGACAAAGAAAAGGAACAAAGGGCAATAACTCTATAAATACTGAAGATGGAGTTATAGTTCTTGTGCACTGCATTTCCTCTTATTGTGCTTGACCATTGTATGAAGTTGTTTTGAAATCCAACCAGTACCTTTTAAGTTATGCTCCGGACAAGGAAAAGTATCAAAGGGCAGTAACTCTGTATTTTGTCAAAATGGAGTTATGGCTCTTGTGCACTGCACTTCCTTTTAATGTCCTTGACAACTGTATGAAGTTGTATTGAATTCCAAACAGTAGTTTTCAAGTTATGCTCTGGACAAGGAAAAGTAACAAAGGGCAATAACTCTGTTATTAGTCAAGATGAAGTTATGGTTCTTGTGCACTGCACTTCCTCTCAATTTGCTTGACCATTATATGAAGTTATATTAAATCCAACCGTTAGTCTTCAAGTTATGCTCCGGACAAAAAAAGCAATGGAAAAAGTAACAAAGGGCAATAACTCTGTAATTAGTCAAGATGGAGTTATGGTTCTTGTGCACTGCACTTCCCTTATTGTGCTTGACCATTGTATGAAGTTGTTTTGAATTCCAACCAGTAGTTTTCATGTCATGCTCTGGACAAGGAAAAGTAACAAAGGGCAGTAACTCTGTAATAAGTCAAGATGGAGTTATGGTTCTTGAGCACTGCACTTCCTCTCAATGTGCTTGACCATTGTATGAAGTTATAATGAATTCCAACAATTAGTCTTCAAGTTATGGTCCAGATAAAGGAATGCAATGGAAAAGTAACAAAGCGCAATAACTCTGTAATTACTTTAGATAGAGTTATGGTTCTTGTGCACTGCACTTCCCCTTATTGTGTTTGACAATTGTATGACGTTGTTTTTAATTCCAACCAGTAGTTTTCAAATTATGCCCCGGACAAGGAAAAGTAACAAAGGGCAATAACTCTGTAATTAGTCAAGATAGAGTTATGGTTCTTGTGCACTGCACTTCCTCTCAATGTGCTTGACCATTGTATGTAGTTATATTGAATTCCAACCATTAGTCTTCAAGTTATGCTCCGGACAAGGAAAATGCAACGGACGTCTGGACCAACCGACCATCGACCGACAAACCGACCACCGGGTGACTCCTATATACAATGTACCCCCCCAAACTTCATTTTTGGGGGTATAATGAACAGAGGGAAAAAAATTCAAAATTAGGCAAGGTGGAGTTATGTTTTTTTGCACTGCACTTCTATTCAATTAGATCTATCTATCTATAAAGTTTCCTGATGATATCTCTTATAGTTTCAGAGTTATGTCCCGGGTAAAATTCAAAGTGTAAGAATGAACAAAGGGCAATAACTCCAAAATTAGACAAGCCTTTGTTTAGATTCTTTAAGCATTGCAGTTCTATCCAATGATATCTTTCTACCTACAAAGTTTCATGTTGATATCTCTAATAGTTTTAGTCAAAAAGTAAAAATAAACAAAGGGCAATAACTTCAAAATAAGGCAAGGCAGAGTTACGGTTCTTTAGCACTGCACTTCTACCCAATGAGACCTATCTACCTACAAAGTTTCATATTGATATATCTTATAATTTTAGAGTAATGTCCAAGACAAAGTTCAAAGTGTCAAAATGAACAAAGGGCAATAACTCCAAAATTAGGCAAGATAGAGTTATGGTTCTTGTGCACTGCAAACCTACTTAATGAGATCTATCTACGTTGATACCTCTTATAGTTTTATAGTTATGTCCCAGACAAAGTTCAAAGTGTGAAAATAAACAAAGGAGAATAATTCAAAAATTAGGCAAGGCAGAGTTACGGTTCTTCTGCACTGCACACCTACTCAATGAGATCTATCTACCTACAAAGTTTCATGTTGGTTTTAGAGTTATGTTCTGGACAAAGTTCAAAGTGTTAAATAAACAAAGGGGGATAATTAAAAAATTAGGCAAGGCAGAGTTACGGTTCTTGTGCACTGCACACCTACTCAATGAGATATATCTACCTACAAAGTTTCATGTTGATTTTAGAGTTATGCCCTGGACAAAGTTCAAAGTGTTAAATAAACAAAGGGGGATAATTAAAAAATTAGGCAAGGCAGAGTTACGGTTCTTGTGCACTGCACACGTACTCAATGAGATCTATCTACCTACAAAGTTTCATGTTGATAGCTCTTATGGTTTTAGAATTATGTCCTGGACAAAGTTCAGTGTAAAATAAACAAAGGGGGATAATTAAAAAATTAGGCAAGGCAGAGTTATGGTTCTTTTGCACTGCACACCTACTCAATGAGATCTATCTACCTACAAAGTTTCATGTTGATACCTCTTGTTGTTTCAAAGTTATGTCTTGGACAAGAAAAGCGAACAGATGGATGGACAAGGCAGCGACTAGATGCTCCCCTGAAATTTTTCGGGGAACATAAAAATGGAAAAGGCTTTAAACATTATTGTTACTAGTCATTAGTTGTCATTAAAAGTTATAATGATAAAAAAGAAACAAATTGTTCACTTTTCACAGTTTATTTATTTTTTTGCATGTGTTTAAATATAACTGCATATTAAAACAAATTAAAAAAGACTTGAAAGCTAAATTTTGCCTGGCAATCGATATATCGCTGTATCGCCGATAATTCATTACCGATATATATTGATACAAAAATCCTTATCGATGACACCCCTAGACTTGTGCCAATCATGTTAGTAATCACAGAAAACAAGTGTGTGAAGTTTCAATCCATTCCCTTCAGCAGTTATGGAGATACCAGCTTACACACAAAAACTCAACCAAGAAGTTATAAGTTTGAAAAAGGGGCATAATTATGCAAACAAGAGCGATCAGTGATCACATGTGTCGCCTCATGATGGCCAATTTCATGTTTGGACAAGTTTTGTGACAGACGGACAGACAGATGGACAGTGCACAACTAGACTTGGTACTGATCATTCCTGTAAAGTTTGGATGAAATTGTAACAGTAGTTTATGAGGAGTAGTGGGGACAAGCTTTTGTGTATCTGGCAACACACAAAAAAAAACACCTTTTTATCAAAGGGCCATAACTCGGCCAAAAATCATTCAACCGGAAAACCCATGCAATATGCGCAAGGACTTGAGCTACAGATCATATGCGCAAGGACTTGAGCTACAAATCAATCATGTAAAGTTTCATTGAAATTGCATTAGTGGTATAAGAGAAGTAGTCCGGACAAACTTTAAAAATAAAAATTATTAAAGGGCCATAACTCTGACAAAAATCATTGAACCGGAAAATTCTGACAATATGCACAACTAGACTTGGTACTGATCATTCCTGTAAAGTTTGGATGAAATTGCACCAGTAGATTATGAGGAGTAGTCCGGACAAGCTTTTGTGTATCTGGCAACACACAGAAAAAACACCTTTTTTATCAAAGGGCCATAACTCTGCCAAAAATCATTCAACCGGAAAACCCGTGCAATATGCGCAAGGACTTGAGCTACAGATCAATCCTGTAAAGTTTCACTGAAATTGCATTAGTGGTGTAAGAGAAGTAATCCGGACAAACTTTAAAAATAAAACTTATTTAAGGGCCATAACTCTGACAAAAATCATTGAACCGGAAAATGCTGACAATATGCACAACTAGACTTGGTACTGATAATTCCTGTAAAGTTTGTATGAAATTGCACCAGTAGTTTATGAGGAGTAGTCCGGACAAGTTTTGTGATGGACAGACAGAGGGACAGACAGACGACGGAGAAGTGATCCCTATATGTCGCCACTACTCCGTAGAGGTGACACAAAAAGCAAATCAGAGTTAATGGGACTTGTGCCAATCATGTTAGATAATCACAGAGAACAAGTGTTTGAAGTTTCAATCCATTCCCTTCAGTAGTTATTGAGATACCAGCTTACATGCAAAAACTTAACCAAAGGGACGCCGACAAGTTGGTGACTGCATTAGCTCGATTATTCTGCGAATAGTCGAGCTAAAAATAAAAAAATTATAGCCAATTCACGCATTTGAAAACATAGCTAAACAATGTTTCCGGTACTTTCTGACATAGCTCTGGGGAATTCACCTAATTGAGTGTAATAATGAACTCTACATGTGTATATGTTTTTGGCCGTTTTTTTTAAATTAAAGTGAAAAAAGATATGTTTGTAAAACATGTATGCCCCCTATCAGCAGCCAATTTGTCATGTGATCAGGTTATTATGCAGAGATTTTTTTCCTGTATTTTTATAGCGAAATAAAGGCTGTATCCCTTAGCTCAAAATAGGTATATTTTCCCCTAAAAAAACTAATATTTTCCCCTGAAAAGCCCTGTGCCCTTCTTCACCAGAACCATGACTAAACAGCATCTGACTTATTATATCAGCTAGAAGACAGATACTGTCCCTATAGGCTCTGCTATGTACCATGCATGTTAAATTGAATTGAAATTGAAAACTTTATAAAATGTGTGGGTAAATTCCAATCTCAGTAGTTGGAATTTGATTTCCCCTTTCGCTATAGTTTCCCCTTCAGAAAGCCACAGGTTGTTTTGAAAATTGAAAAAAAAATCAATGTTATGACTGACTGTTGACCTAGTGAACAAAAAATCAATAAGGGTTATCTACTGGTCATGACTAGTCACTAGGTTATAATCATTGTCACCGCATATGTTGTGTGCAGCAATTTTATGACAAATTTATTACAAATCTTATCAAATAATATATGCATAATTTTTATGAATCATGTAGGCCTCATTAATGACAGCCAAGTTGTTATATTACATAAGACCTTCAAATGTCTATACAAAATGCATCTTTAGTTTAATATAAAGATATCAACCAAGGCAACTTGAGTTGTTGAGTTATTGGTCAGAAACCATCTTTAAGTACAATGTCACTATGACACTGACCCCCTGACCCCAAAATCAATAGGGGTCATCCACTGGCCAAGACCAATGCACCTACAAAGTTTGAGGGCCAGCAGATATGGGCTTGTCAAGTTATTGATAGGAAACCGTTTTCACCTACAAGTTTAATATGACCTTGACCTTTGACCCCTTGACCACAAAATCAATAGGGTCATCAAATTGTCAAGTCAAAAGCACCTAAGATGTTTGAGGGTCAACAGCTCATGAGTTCACAAGTTATTGATCGTCAAATCATCATACCATGCCTAAAGTTGCTAGACCTAACCATTCTTTAGTTATTGATCCGAAACCGTATTTACCTATAAGGTCAATGTAACCTTGACCTTTGACCCTTGACCCCAAAAGCAATAGGGTTCATCTGCTGGTCATGAACAATCATCATACCAAGTTTGAAGTTCCTAGGCCTAAGCGTCCTTAAGGTATTGATCGGAAACCATTTTACCTACAAAGTCAATGTAACCTTGACCTTTGATCCCTTGACCCCAAAATCAATAGGGGTCATCTGCTGGTCATGAACAACCATCACACCAAGTTTGAAGTTCCTAGGCCTAAGCGTTCTTTAGTTATTGATCGGAAACCATTTTACCTACAAGGTCAATGTGACCTTGACCTTTGACCCCTTGACCCCAAACTCAATAGGGTTTATCAGCTGGTCATGAACAATCATCATACCAAGTTTGAAGTTCCTAGGCCTAAGCGTCCTAAAGGTATTGATCGGAAACCATTTTTACCTACAAAGTCAATGTGACCTTGACCTTTGACCCATTGACCCAAAAATGAATAGGGGGTCATCTGCTGGTCATGAACAATCAGCATATCAAGTTTAAAGTTACTAGGCCTAAGCGTTTTTTAGTTATTACTCAGAAACCGTTTTTACCTACAAGGTCAATGTGACCCTGACCTTTGACCCCTTGACCCCAAAATCATTAGGGGTCATCTACTGGTCATGACCAATAATCATATCAAGTTTGAAGTTCCTAGGCCTACCGATTGACAGACAGACAAATGCAAAGCAATATACCCCCTCCTCTTTGAAGTGGGGGCATAATAAAACAGTTATTTCTTTGTAAGAAAATAATTAAATATTATTGTATGAATAATTCAATACAAAAATAAAGTAAATACACAAGTTTACGCAGAAAATATCTCTATTTATTATAGAAGATGGCACTACGACTGTTTCAATTTTATTGATTTTCAGTATAAATCTAAATTTATTTTTTGAAAAAAAAAAATGCAATAAATATTAAATGAATATTTATATTTTTCAAACACATCCATTTTGTTCACTTTAAATGGTAAAATGAAGATCGAAAAACAGAAATTTTATGCAATTGTGTTACATGTATGTACTTCATTCGGTGTCATTCCCCAGAGCTAAATCCGTTACGTTACGGGGAATAAGTCAATACAAAATCTATGCCAGAAATAATTGGGCCTTAATGTCACTGACTAAGTGACTTGAAATAATGACTTTAAAGACATTTTTAATGTTTTACATTTTTATGTTTGATAGTTTATGAGAAATAAAGTTGAACCTGATCTGATAACCCTGTAATATGCCTAATGCAGAAGAGAATACCAGGTTTAGTATTATCAGTAGTACCATACTAATTAAGCTAAAATCAGTAATTAATATCTTTAAAAAATTCTTGAATAAAATATCACTGACAGAACGAATTATATCAAAAGTGCTTGAAATTGGTATAGAAAAGCATAGTTACCAGGTTCACACTCTAATGAAGCAGGTGCACAAAATTCTGTAATTGGTTCACCATCTTCATTCTCCAAACAAACGAACCTCTCCCCATTAGAACAATTGTAATCACAACGAAAGTGCCACAAATCATATTTACTCTGAGGAGGACATTCTGATGTGTTACACGTAGTTGATATCAGCCTATCAAATTTTCTCTTTTCCAGTAAGATGTCACAAAGTATTGGCACAGTAATAAGAAGGAAAAGCAAAACAAAAGTCTTGAGGTTTCTTTCCATTCTTCTTTTTAAAGAAAAGTTTCCCTGAAAATTTAAAGAAAATTTGTGTTAAAAACAAATCTATACTAACATATCAATAACATAATGCAAATTAAATCTTTTTTTTATCCAAAACACAAACTTTTATGTAAACTATGTGTCTTATAAATGTAACAAGAATTTGTAACAGAGTTACCAACCTCCCCCGCCTCTGGAAGTTTTATATGAAGCATAAAATTAAACTATTTCAAAAGATTGAGGTATGGATCTCAGGACATTCAGTCCAAAATTATGATCAATGCTAGATCTGCAAATGTAACAATAAATTTGTTAAAAAAATAAATGAAACACGGAATTTAAAAATCTATCATGATAAGCTTTGACCTCTTAAAGTGTGACCTTGACCTTGGAGGTAGGGGAGCAGGTGTTGTGCATGACATATCGTATAATTATTGAGACTATTTGTGATTAGTATTTTCAAAATCCCTTGAACTATGAAGAAGTTATAGATTGGACACAAAATATACCCTATAACAAACTACGTAAATCTTTGACCTCTAAGTGTGACCTTGACCTTGAAGGTAGGGACAGAGATGTTACACATGACATATTATCTAATCATTGTGACTATTTGTGCCAAGTATTTTTAAAATCCCTAAATCTATGAAGAAGTAATGGACGGGACACAAACTATACCAAATAACAGACTCTGTTAACCTTTGACCTCTAAGTGTGACCTTGACCTTGGAGGTAGGGGTGCAGGTGTTGTACTTGACATATCGTCTTATTATTGTGACTATTTGTGCCAAGTTATTTCAAAATCCCTTGAACTATGAAGAAGTTCTAGATCCGATACAAAATATACCCTATAACAGACTATGTTAATTTTTTACCTCTAAGTGTGACATTGACCTTGGAGGTAGGGATGCAGGTGTTGTGCAAGACACATCCTCTTATTATAGTGACTATTTGTGCAAAGTATTTTCAAAATCCTTTGATCTATAAAAAAGTTATGGACCGGACACAAAATATACCCAGTAACAGACTATGTAAGTATTTGACCTCCAAGTGTGACCTTGACCTTGAAAGTAGGTGACCGGTTTTTGCGCATGACACATCTTCTGATTATTGTGAACAATTAAAGCAAGTATTAACAAAATTCCTTCATAGATAAGAAAGTTATGGACCGGACACAACATATACCCTCAAATAAACAATGTTGACCTTGAATATGCAAGTGTGACCTTGACCTTGCAGGTAGGGGTCTGGTTGTTGCGCATGACACATCGTCTTATTATAACAAACATTTGTGTCAAGTTATTTCAAATTCCTTGGATAAATGACAAAGTTATGGACCGGACATGAAATATACCCTGTAACAGACTATGTTAATATTTGACCTCCAAGTGTGACCTTGACCTTGAAGGTAGGTGACTGGTTTTTGCCCATAACACATAGTCTGACTATTGTGAACAATTATGGCAAGTATTTACAAAATCAATTCATAGATAAGAAAGTTATGGACCGGACACAACATATACCCTCAAATAGACAATGTTGACCTTGAATGAGCAAGTGAGACCTTGACCCTGGAGGTAGGGGTCTGGTTGTTGCGCATGACACATCATCTTATTATAACAAACATTTGTGTCAAGTTATTTCAAAATCTTTTGATAAATGACAAAGTTATGGACCAGACACAAATATACCCAGGAAGAGACTATGTTAATATTTGACCTTCAAGTGTGACCTTGACCATGAAGGTAGGTGACTGGTTTTTGCGCATGACACATCATCTGATTATTGTGAACAATTATGGCAAGTATTTACAAAAATTCCTTCATAGATAAGAAAGTTATGGACCGGACACAACATATACCCTCAAATAGACAATGTTGACCTTGAATGAGCAAGTGCGACCTTGACCCTGGAGGTAGGGGTCTGGTTGTTGCGCATGACACATGGTCTTTTTATAATAAACATTTGTGCCAAGTTATTTCAAATTCCTTTCATAAATGACAAAGTTATGGACCGGACACGAAAGTGTGACGGACGGACAGACGGAGCCTATTTCTATATCCCCGCCTTTTCGAACAATAATTTTATTTCAAATATTAACATTATAGTCAACTGAAATAAACACTTCAAACTTATATTATATTATATTATTAGGATTTTATTAGGATAAGATCGGATTTTGGTAAAATCCATGAGACTGAGAGCCAAATATATCTGTGGGACATTAAATATATTCAGTGTTAATACCTCTCCAACCATTACTGTAGAACGACTAAAATTTACATGTATTAGATTTAATTACCAGACTGGTGAAAATGCCTAATGGTTTATGACATAAAAACTCATATTTCTAGAAAAATAATAAAGATATTTCTTTTAAACTTTGTTAGTTTATTGAGTAAAATATATTATATAAACAAAATAAAAAAATTTGGTTACTGTCATTAATTTATGTGAGAATTATTTCCCCTATTTTTGAAGTCTTTATTATTTATTATTTTTCTAGATATGATTTTTTTGTCATAAGCCCAATTGGGCATTTTCACCTGATGATAATACTAAATAAATAATTGTATCAGAACAATCTGTTGTTTGAAATATAATTATTTCATTTAATTACAATGTCCCCCTTACTTTTAATGATCCTTCTTTTCATATATTATTATCATTATTAATACCAACCGGTAAACATGCAGTATCCACATACTGCCAGTTTTCAATCACAACCACTTTTCAATCATCCCTAGAATTTATTTATTTTTGACCTTATTTGTCATGTAACCAAACTGTAAGCACATCTTGTATTCACCTTGACTAAATTTATCAGCAGCAATGTCAATTATGGCGATAAAAAAGAAAATGCTAGCATTTTAGTTCAAAATTTGTAAAATGTGTGTTTTCCACTAATCCTTTATTTACCCAGTTACAAATCGCAATAATTTTCTAAAAATAATTGATTTACAGACTCAGTTTTTTGTCAGTCTGCAGAAATGGATATTAAGTTGGACAACTGTTTCAATATCATGAAGTCATAATGTATACTGCACTTCAAAAGCTGTAATCTTAATATGTACATATTTTACCATACAGTTCTTAATTGGAAGGTAATACATCAGTAAAGTAAGAGTCACTTAACCATAGAAAAACATTCTCTGTGATAACTTTTCAGTAAGCAGTCACTAGAATGGGGTCATATAGACCCTAAGATCCTAAAAATTTCACAAGAACATGCTTTTTCTGTTATGCAAATTGAAAAGTACATCCATACCCCAATTGTGACAGCTTTACCACTGCAAATAGATATCTAGATTGAAAAATGGCATAATAATTAGGTTAAAATTGTTTATTACCATTAATCTGAAGTTGAGTTTGTCAAAATTTCTCCAACATACAGAACTAATTATATTTTAACATTGTATGACAATTTTTATGTGGTACAGTTTATATTTTGTTAACTGATTGAAAAGTGGTTGTGAAATCTTGAAGAACAGGAAAATGGGTCAGTAATTATTTGTCCTTGATTCATAGTAATAATTCAAGTAAAATTTTAAAAAGTTGGTGCATTTATTAGCTGAAATGATAATATTCGCAGAATTGAAAGAGAATTTTTTTATATATAATTTCACTGTCAGTTATTGTTGAAAAATCTGTTAGCTGATCGGAAAGAGGCAGTACGGGGATAGATCTATATCTATATATTTAGACCTGTCTCTACTCCTAGTCCTGTTTTCCAGTAAAACAATTCGAATACATTGTAGATCCTGACTGTAGCTCCAGAGCAGTGAGTTCTAAAACTTCAAATCTGTCATCATCAATTAAATTATGCCTATAACAAGGTTGCTGTTCAAAATTAGTCACTCCCAGCTACATGTATATATGGGTATATATACATGAAAAAGAGGGATCCCATCATATATAGTACATTATCAAGTTTATATATACATTACGCAATCACGCAACCATAAAGCATAAACAATTTATTTATGCTCCAAATACCATTTATACCACATGAAGTCGATGTCGTCGATGTATTGCTGACAACAACGGCATAAATTTACGAGAAACATTAATATCCGATCTGAATAAAATGAACTCCTTAATCGACTCGAGTTGACTAACTGGTAAAATCTAAATTTTAGGCAAGATTGTAAACCAGTCAAATTTGACAGATACGTCAACATAGATTCAGAAGGAACAGCTTAGTTGATTGGACAGATCTTCCATTTTACTTTATAGTCTTCATTATTTTCTGTCCAATCAGAATCATTTTAACAAAAGATCTCTGGTTGATCAGTCGATTAAATATGGAAGGCAATAGAGACGAAAGTGAAAAGTGTATATCTATAGCTCAAAAATGTATAAATGCTGGGGCTTATGAAAAGGCTTTGAAATTCTTAAATAAAGCAGAAAGGTTATATCCAACACAAAAAGCTAAAGGTCAGTAGATCGTGTCGTTTTTTAGTGTTTACACACACACTGACGTAGCAGAAATTTTCATGTCGGACACATTTTGTCAAAATTTATCCGGTTGACAAAATTTTTTAACCGTCAAGGTGTATGATTGAATCATTTATTATCTGATCATGTGTTTTCCTGGTTACATGTGCTTGTGCACATACTTGTGGATGTGCATCCCCCACTGGATAAAGGCCTTTCCATTGAATAATGACAATATGACAAAAAGGGCTATCCCCGGGGTCTAATATAAGGTTCATTCCGTTTTCTTTAGTGTATTATATACAAGTTTTACTTCTGAAATATACATAGGGGTCTACAGTTAAACTTCGTTCGCTTGAACTTGGATCACTCGAATACCTCCCTTCGGCTCGTACTCATCGCCCCAGTCCCGGCAAAATTCTATATGAATATTATTGGGGTTCTACCTCGGATCGCTCGAACACCCCATCGCTCGAAACTCTCGAACCTGATCTCTGGTCCCTTCGGAAAGAAATATAGTGTAAATCACACCGCTTTTCGGGTTAACACAAACAGACAACAAAAAGTTGCGGGTCGAAATGTTCTAAATAATTGAACAGCCGGCGACACAATGTTTTTAACCCCCGTGTGATGGTGACAAGGGCAATTAAGGTTAATTGATACAAAATTAAAAGGTGTTTGAAACCCCGATTTGTTTGTTATGATAAAATTGTATATTTGCCGTCTTTAGTAATAATAAAAAGAAAATAACCCCTGAAATGCGCAAAAGTCAATAAATAAATGACGTTTACCTGGACGGGCTTTAAATTAGCAACCGTGGATCATTGTAAAATGTGAATTTGTAAACAGTGTAATCTATTATAGAAATGATACCTTGTATCGTGTGTTTTATTTTAGTAAATTAACTAAAAAAATTATGTGGCTGTAAAATGTTCTTTTTTTTAATATTTAAAAATTAATGCATTGTTTAAAATAAAAATTCATGCCTATAATAAACTATAACTATATTTTGAACATTGGGTTCACGTTTTGTGGATAATGATCGCCCAAATTGAACCCCAACCAAGTTTTCAATATGCATGAATATAGATTAACATACAGTTGACCATTAAATCTGTTTACAATAGGAATAATAAATTCTTACTAGGAAAACCGTATTCAACAAATTGAATGTTACTAGCAAACAATAATATTTACGTATTTAATCATTTGACCGATGTAAAGTTGAAAAACCTTCAGGGCCTTTTTTCTATTAAAATAGTTCAACCTCGGTTGGCTCGAACTACCGATCTCTCGAACAAATTTGCACAGGCCCTCCGAGTTCGACCGAACGAAGTTCGACTGTATTTGACCTTTTCGAAAACCTAGCTAAACACTGTTTTCCGGTACGTTACGGATTTAGCTCTGATAAATTTGTACAATAATTATATGAAATTAAAGAATAATTCCAATACCATACATCGCACAATTATACTGTTTTCTTCAAGATTCACTCTCCCGCCCCCCCCCCCCCCCCCTTGGTAAAATTCATTGTGACCAACACATACTGACATATATCTCATACAAATTGTTACTATACACCTTTGAACAAAACAAAGCTTCCTTTTTGGTGATGTTTTTAATTAACAAAACCGGCATGGCGAAAATATGTTACAAATGAAAATTTGTCTGTTTTCTGCAGAAACATTCACAATTCCAGTTGTTGCTGATTACAATTATATTAGAATTAAGGTATTAGCACCCTAATGCATTACCTCCGCTTTGAAGAGTATTCAAATAGGCTAGAACTACTGTTAACTACATTGAAAATGAGGGCCATGGGTTCAATCCCCAGAAGGGTCAACTTTTTTTTTCTTTCTTTTTTTCTTTTAACATTATTTATGTATCTCTCATGTCCCATTTGGAAAGAAAAAGGTGTTTAATTTTGATTTTTTAATTTATATAGGTATTTATTGGCTAAAGTATGCTAAATCTATTAATAAATATGGTACCTGATATTTTCAAAGTGTAATATAATCAAAACTAGACGGTAAAAGTATTTCATATTTTACAAGATCAACCAATATACTTTTTCAAAAATTTAGGGAAACTTTGAAAACAGGCACTCATTTGAGTAAATTTTAAGAATTTTTTTAATTAGGCTCCCTAAGTAGAAAAATGGTCAGACACGTGGTAAAAATGGGTGGGGTAGGGTAACATTTTTATACCGATTTCATAAATTTTAAGTAGGGCCATCCTTAAAAAAATGTTTGTTTGCAGCAATATGCTATTTTTAAAAGGTTTAGACTGAATAATTTCAGTGCCTTGAACATTGTATGAAAATGTTTTGTGTTAACATTGAAAAGTTTTAAGGGCTTTGAACTTAAAATGAAAAAAATAATTAATGCACCATCTGAAATTTTGGTTGCATGCGGGGGCATCCGTGGCATGATGACACATTTCTAGTTTTTTATTGAACTGTACTCCCAAATAAACATGGAATTTCAAAAAGCTGGACAATATATGCTTTGATAATCTGGTAACAATTAATAAATTGATAACTGAATTCTAATTTAATAAGACCTACATTTTATTTCTTCTATTAACCTTTAACAGAACGAAAACAAAGCACAAGGCATAGTTTTCTGATTCCAAAAAAAAAATTTTTTATCCAGACCATGAAAAAAAAATTTGAGTAGGGGCAAATTTTGTGAGTCGGTCGCGTTACTGCAAACAAACATTTTTTTAAGGATGGCCTAGAAACCATAATTTTGCTTATATGAATTGTTAGCAGAATGGTACTATTTGTTTCTTACCAAAAATTAATGGGAAAACATTTTTCATTAGAATGTTATTGCAGATTATTTAAAGGTTCCGCATTTCTAAAAAAGGGCCCTCATAACATCAAAGCTTGAGTTCAGAAAAGTGGCCATAACTTGATTTCCGTACGGTAAACTTTGTTTTTGCATACAGGTGTACTTTAAGGTATACATCTGACCTATAATGTCAATTTTTTAGTTCCTGATAGTGCCCATTAGGGTCCTAATACCTTAATATTTTTTTAATATTTCAAGATTTTTTTTCGTCGGCTATTCTTATAGGCATCCTTAAACAAAAATTTCAAATTTGTAATTTACGGCAATAATTTCCAGTGGGGGTCTGTAAACTTCATTGTGAATTGGGAGATTTTCTCACATTTCATCAATTTCAATGGACTTTAAGTGATTTTTGTTTGACAAATTGCTCAAAAGAATAATTTTTGAATTATACATGATT